CCTCTTTGCTTTTTGCACATTTGAATGCATTGTAAATGGTCATTTTTGCCATTGCAAAATACAGTAAAATATACAAAAAGTGGAGTGTGAATAAACAAATATGCATGTGGAATTTATAACAGCTGAAGGCTTGACACTTAGACAACTGTATGAATGAATGTGAACAGTAAAGTAATTCTTAAATGTTTTGGAATATAATTTAACTGAGAAGCTACTGATCAATTTTGATCAAAAAGGTAATTAATTTAACTGTGACATCAACAGCTTAACCTCCGTATGCTGTCATAGTTGCATTATGTGACAAGTACCAGCAATTTCAATAAATGTACAAGGACTTGTTTTGATGACTTGTACAGGAAAATGTAAAAAATTTGATGTAAAGGGTGAGTTGTTTTAGTAAATATAGTTAATCACCCCCACACATTTGGATCCAGAGAACTAATATACAGTGGGTACGGAAAGTATTCAGACCCCCTTAAAATTTTCACTCTTTGTTATATTGCAGCCATATGCTAAAATCATTTAAGTTCATTTTTTTCCTCATTAATGTACACACAGGTAGGAATGCCAAAGCAACAGCAGCTAATAAATATCAGGTGTTCCAGCTGGTTGTTCAGGTACATCAGTTAAGATGCTGCAACTGACGTACCTCTGGTTGCACATCCACTAGACAGACTTTGTTTTGATCCAAAACCTGGTGAATGGATTCTAGACTGGTGCCATACAGATTATCCTTATACTCCCCATATTCAATAAACCTACAGAAATACAGAAAGATCATTAATTGTTGCAACTGTAACAAATGCATTCACAAGCTGAACAGACTGGCAACAACACGCAATTATAAAATAAAAGACTAACTAATCCCTTTATTATTGACAGATGCCATTGTTCTTCTGTAGCAACTGGAAAAATACTGTATCACTCACTTGCCATTCTGGATATCGGCCTCGAAAGCTTCCCTAGTGATGAAGTGGTACTCCACTCCTTCTCTCTCATGACACTTCCTGGCTCGAGTGGTGTCTTCAGTCCATGTGTTCAGATGCAGCCAGGGAGGAAAAACATTCATGTGTGGGTGTGTAATTGTTATTATGTTATCCTCTAGAGATGCTATGCAAAAATCAATGACAATGCTGACCAGTCCAAAAGAGAAGATACACCACTGATGAGAAAACAGTTAATCCATCCTTCTCAAATAAGACTGGACATGGCTGGTGCAAATACTGCAACAGCATGCTGTAGTTAATCTGTTATGAGAGGCTGTGCATGACAAAAGCCCATGAGATTACATCACCTAGATTAATCTTATTAAAATCATAAATCAACAGCTATACTGCAACAAAGAGCTATTTGGGTGAAAGCCACAGCAACTGCATCTCTAGAACAAATACATGTTTAATAAAAAAAAGTAAACTGACTCACGAGGCACAGCCAAACCATATCGTCGAGGATTCTCAGTGATTACCTTCTGTTTGAGCTCAGTGACACGAGCTCCCAGGGAACCTGTGACATCACAAATAACATAATAAGAAAAAAAAAACACTGTTTTACAAGATGATTGCATGCTGGGAAAATATCTGCAAGCACAACCCCAACAATCTTTTATTTAAATGTCATGCCTAGTGTCATTTATATAGCAAATTGTTTTTCTAACAGTAAGTGCGTATTGTCTCCAGTGTCATCAAAACCCTCTGTGGACTTACCTATCATTACTATGAGGCGAGGCCTCTCACCAGGGCACGGCAGATACTGTGCCACTTCTTCATAAATCAGAAAGTCTGTGCGACTGGCATCTGGATTTTGCGGTTCCTCTGGTGATCCCTGGCGATCTTTCCTGGGACGCAAATTTCTGCGCAGGCTGGCTGTGGTCAAAGACATGCAAGTACTAATGTATGCTGGACCAGAGCTCCATTTGGTATCTAAAGTCTAGCCCAGATCAAGATCATGAGAACTTACAAGTTTATTAAAAAGCTAATTCCATCAATCAGCATTTTTCACCCTCCCTGATTAAAATTCAAATCCTGTACAACACAGACACACTGAACACCACCAGTAGAAATCAGGAAGAGTACCTGAGTAAAAATCCCATGAGAAAGCATGGCCACAGAAGGCAGGTGCTGCCTTACTCTTGGGAGAAACTGCAGCTCATATTAGACCATTTGTTCAACCAGCTTACTGTAAATCTCATCAGCTGAATGCAAGCTTAGAAGCCATGCATGCCGTGTCTACTGCTTCACCACACACAAGCAGAACACTTAGCATGTAGCGTGAAGAAGGGAGGCCTTTTGTGAAGCACAATGAGATTAAATGAGCTGCCACAAAGACACTGTGAGAAGCTCAATGGCCGTAGCATACAGCACAAAACACCTGCCAGAGCAACAAGCACGTTCACTCGTAACTGAGGTCATGAAAACAGACCCACTACAAACACACTGCCACTTATTAACTCCTGACACAAAAAAGCAGCGACTTAAAGCAGAACAACTAAATCAGCCGAGCTGAAAATTGGGTGATACTTCTCACAGATACTACACGGTGGTATTTGTTTGTATGTCAGCCAATGAGAAAACAAGATAATGCAGTAGAGAAAATCCAGAGATTTACAGAGATAATTCAGAAATCATGTCACCCAGTGGTGGAAAGTAACTAAGTACATTCATTCAAGTACTGTACTTAAGTACAACTTTGAGGTATCTGTACTTTACTTGAATATTTAGATTTTTATGTTCTTTCATACTTCACTACATTTTAGAGGCAAATATAATATATTATAACTTACTGAATTACATTCAGGTTAAAATGGAAATGGTAATGCTTTCAGGCAATTATCACACAGAGGCACAATCCCATTAAATCAAGCTGCGAGGAGACCTCTAACTGGGCTGTGAGCACCTCAGTAGGTGAGATGAACACAGTGTCAGTGTGTGGTTCTCTTAAAGAGAAAGTGCACTGTGGTGAGGTGTTGCATTCAAAGAACACACCAGTGACTCCAGCTGTTTGTTGTTTTTTTTGCCCTAATCCAAAAATACAAACCAAAGCAACACAAAACAATCCACTATACAACCTCAATATCTACTCACAATTTCTAAATGAAGGGATGGATTAGCACACACACAGCAGAAAGGTGATGTTGCAGTGATTGATCATGCCTCCTCACCTATATCCTTTCCATTCAGAGCACTTTGACAGTCTTCTGTAGATTGTCAAGCAGGAAGAAAAGATGGTACTTCAATGTCAGAACACAGCAGGTTGAGTACAGTTAAATACTAGGGCAAGGTTTTATGGGTATAGAAGTAAATGTCGAGGCAAACAGGTGTAGAATGTGAGGGGGAAACATGCGCCAGAACTTGTGTTTTTGTCTGTTTCAGGTGGGCTACTGAGAAATTCAGACATGAAAGCATGTGGTCTGTCCAGGGAGGGAATGTATTTAAACTAGTGATGGCGGAAGCGAGGCTTTCCAGAACTTTGAACCATTTGCTTCGAAAAATGGATGGTTGTTTTGAAACATTTGAATCACCCACGCTGGTGACATCTGCTAGGCAAATGCCCGTAAACACAATAGAAACTGCCAATATGGCATTTCAATAATTCAGAACAGATATTTTTCATAGATGCATAGATTTTTTTTATAATTTTGTGAATGTAGTGGCAAACTGGACCTTGATGGGGGAAGAAAACCCCACAAAATCTGACCATTTTCATTGACTTTTGTGTTAATGGGACATGGCACAACACGAATCACTGACTAGTTTTTCCAGGTAGTGTAACTGTCAACTGAATCAACTGACTGAAGATCGGCAGTTGTATGTTCCATCAGCCCCTAGTGGCGAACAGTCAAAATATGAAACGTTTCATGAACCAGTGTGAAACAATAAATTAAATTGGCCACTTTGATACACAGCCCGAAGCGTGTTGATACAATGTTTCGAGTCCACCCATCACTAGTTCTAACTTGAGGGTTCGTCTACATACCTTTCTCAGCACGATCATCTGAGGTTAGCAATGCAAGGAATAATGCAGAGTATCACTGTAGAGAGTGACAGAGTATTATAACCACCATCCTCCTAAACATGATTATGAAACATTTCAATTCACCACAGGACTTAAACATCATCCTAAAAATGTAATATCTAAACTATGTGTGTGCTTTAGAAATCTTATGTGTCCTTTGGGCTTTAACCCAATTCATTGTTTTTGTACTCCAACATTTTTTACATTTACTTTTAAAAAACATTATTAAACTCCATCTTTTAAGCTGGTTTAGCTTTCATGCAGATAATGTAGCTAAAAGAAATGACATACAGTATCTTAACAACCACCTGTTCTTTTTCAATCTACTGTTTCATTTTTTTACCTTTTAATATTAAATTAGGACAATGAATGGATTCTCCCTTGTTTACATAATCTCTATTTTTTGGTTAGATTATATTTAATCCACAATACAAGCTTTATCTGTAGATGTAAGCTTCTTGTACATTTATGGTTATGGAAGACTATGTGTGACTGCAGAGGAAACATAGTCTTACATGTAGGAGCTTTGATTGACACAGAAGTAGGGAAGGAACCCATTTTCATCCTGTATCTCAGGCGTCTTGGAAGAAGAAGGAAAAAAAGATCCATGTGTTATCTGAAAAAGGCAAGGAGTTATTTGGCAGCTAAACTGATGTTGACTACCTCTCCTGGAACTGTATGGAGGGGATGAGGGCGGCGCGTAGGTTAGAGTCACCCACCCTCTTGGCCTGCCACCAGGTGGAGTCCTCCTGGCTCACTACCTGAAGAATGTCCCCCCTTTTGAAAGGAAGTCCTGCCTCTTGGCATGGCGTGGCCTTGTCCTCAAAGGGCGTGTAGTCAAACAAAGCCCGAAGGTAGACCTGGAGGGAGTGTTAACTTTAAAAGCAGTAGTTTAATATTTTTGGAAATACGCTTTTTTTTTCCTTGCTGAGAGTTAGATAAGATCGATGCTACTCTCCTGTTTGTTATATACAGTATGAAGCTACACCCAGCAGCTGGTTAAGATGGGAACAGGGATACAGCATGCTTGGCCGCTCCCTGTGGCACCCTCATAAAACCACAAGTTGCTTTTTAAACCAAATAAAACAGCACATCTTAATTAGTTCACCTGAGTGGTGCTGGCAAGGAACATTTTGTTAACTGGCCAGAGCCAGGCTAGCAATTTCCTCCCGTTTTCAGTCTGTATGCTAAGATAAAGCAACCGACTGGCCTCATTGCTGAAAGCCTTTGAAAAGTGTTGATACAAATTTTTGCTGAATAAAACTTTGATGGCACAAAGTCTTACAATGAATTTACCAAAAATATTAAATATATATTTTAAGTCAGGCAAATGCGGTAATGTTAGTTGTAAAATGTTTATGTAATTGTATCAAAAACTTCTATAATATCTCCAGTACTATTATTATTCAAGACCTCAGAAACTTGGTTAATCCATCATTTTATTCTCTGCTAATTATCAAGATCTAGGTTGCGTTTAATAATAAAAAATATTAGGAATTACTGTTAAACAAAAAATACTTAGATTGTACTTTGTGAACACAGCAGAAACTCTGAATTTTCCTAACTCTCAGCAAGAAAGCAAATAATCTTATTATCCAAAATCCATTAATACATTTATTAAGAGATAATTTCTGCTGTTTCTACTGAGAGCATCTGTGACGGTGAATGCAAGTCATTAATAAATTCAACAATGCCACAAAAATGTAATAAAAACATGACTGAATCAGTTAAAAGAAAAATAGTTGCCCAGTTTTGGTGCATGGGAGAAAATGGCTGGTGACCAACTAGAAAATCGGTTGTATATTTAGACAAAGTGCTCACCTTGCTTTCCTTCAGTTTGTCTTCTTCAACAACAGCTGGGATGATTTTCAGGGTGATGGAGTCCTGTGACTGGGACTGATCAAAAACATCAGAGCAGCATCGTCATCCATAGTAACCATCCGTGAATAATCATACAGTATCTGAAACAACATGACCCCATGTGCAAAACCTGTTCCTTACCAGAATCTGACTGATTTCATCTGGCCTTTTGTGGGTTATCAGATTTCCATTAACCTCTCGGAGCTCATCCCCCACATGCACCAGACCTGAGAACACAAACGCAACACACAGCCACCAAATAAGTCTACTGAAAACAATTTTGTTGCCTTGGAAAATAAAGCCAAGGAAAACCCCAGCATGTGCAGTACCAGTCAATATTTTTAGAGCATGAGGCTCTGATGTTCAACGTTTTCTGTGGGCATAAAGTCGATAACATCTCCATGGCAACAGCTAAGAGCAGCCCTTTTGTAATCTCAAAATATGCAATCCCGTGGCGCTAATCTCAAGGATTTGATCTCTGCTGACAGTTTATGGAGTTACACAACGTAATCTCCTCACTTCTCTCCCACTATATCAGTAATGGTAAGAAGATCCCGTTGGGTAGGAAGGTCAGCATATAGTAAGAACAGAGATGATTTCACTGTCTCTACAGTTGATTATGTGCTTATGACACTTTGTTGCAGTAAAGCCCCCGTTTGCGTTTTTCCCCCCGGAGATAATAAAGGAATATAACTGACATTTGAATTATGATTAATGACTTGTGAGCCCTGTCTCACCACTGCGATCAGCTGCCCCTCCCCTCATGATTCTGGCCACGATTACAGCTCCTGTCGCCTCATTTCGCCGAATAGTCGCCCCCTGGTGGAAAAGCCACAACAGTACATTAGACCTCCAAACACAGATTCAATCTTCAGTTTAGTGACTGGGTAATCCTCTGACAGGCTGCAGAGATCAATAACCTTTCAAAGTAAAAGCTGAACTTCTGTGTGACTAGAGAACCTGATATCTGATTAGCAAAATCACCTTGCTGTTTATATGTAGCTCAGTGGGCTACACATAATAAGATGGCTGCATGCGGTCACATTTCTGCAGCACAGCTCCCTACACTTTTCCTCATTTAGAGATTATTCCATTGCATACTTTATAAACAATTAAAAATTCAATGGAATAGCATGGCATTTTGGGAAATATACACTTTTTTTCTTGCCAGGAGTTAAATTAGAAAACAGATAGCACGATATATAAAGCTATAGCCAGGAGACAGTTATCTTAGCATAAAGACTGGACACAGGTACCAACTGTAGTCAAATGTAATCCTGACCAATTAACAAGTCTATTTTTCTTTTGCTTTAAGGACAACCTTGAGAATGGATTTTTATAGCATCACACAGTAACACACATTCACACCCTGGTGATTTCTACAGCCTCAAAGCTGCTCCATTAAAATAGACAGAATATCAAAGCCTCACTTGAGGGCATAAGAACAGTAATCACCGAAGGGAAGGGACAGCGCTTATTTTGTCATGTCTTTAGGTTTGACGTGACTCTCACCAGTGGTTCCTTGTTCTTCACCAGGCGGACAATCTTCACCGACTCCTCCTCCAGGTCGTCATCCAGATCCTCCGGCAGTGGCGGCAACACCGGGTCAAAGTTCTTTTGAGCCACTGTGTCGTGAGCTGACAGCACTGCCTGTACAAGCCATTTACAAACCAACAGAGAAGAAACTGCTCAGATAACTAAGATGCAAGAAAGCAATAAAGACAATAAAAGAATAAAAGATATACAAAAATTCCCGTAAAACAAAACAGAGAAAACCATGTATGCAACAAGAAACAAGAGAAATGTCTCCTGGCTAAATGAGCACCAGTTTCACAGCCGTCATCTTGCCACACTTCCCAGAAATCCAATAAACTGAACATAATCACTTGATAAACGTCATTAAGAAGTCTTGTCTGCGTTTGATGACTGGGCCAGGAGCCAGCAGTGATAAGAAGCAGTGATATTAAAGAGCTCAAAATCAATAAAAGAGCCTCTGGGTCAAAAGGAAAGAGACACTGTCAAGCATTAGTACGCGATGAAAAAGACTGTGTGTGTGTGTGTGTGTGTGTGTGTGTGTACCTTGAGGTGAGGAGCACTCAGCAGGAGCAGCAGTTCTCTCTCATCCTCCTCCATTGGTCCATTCTGAAGCTCCTCTGCCAGCTGACGATGTAAATCAGAAATATTAAAATTAAAATATTTGACATCTCATAAAATGAACTTTAGAAAATTACAATAAATATTTACTTATACTTAAACTATTCAGCTTCAGTTTGGCCTAAAATACTGAGGAAAATGAGCCATTGCACATACATCTTCTGCCAGACAGGAGGCGCTGTGAAGAACTGGAGTTGGGCTCTGTTTCTCATACTGTTTTAGTTTCTCATGGATCTGTGATATTCAGTACAACAAATGAAAAGACAGGCAAAATGTATGGATACGCACAAACAAAAATCAACTTCAGTGTTTCCCATACATTGAGTTATAATGTCAACACTCACCGCCACACATTGATTTTCTATTTCTTATATTTTAAATCTTATTTGAACGTAGTGCTGTGCGCAGTACATACTGTATATTCACTCAGTCCCTTCGTTCCCTGCTCTATATCTAGCACATGACAATGGGCTGTCTGAACAGCTTCTCCTCTCTGCGTTTGTTATTTTAACATAACACTGTCAATCGGTGGAGATCCAACTTTTCTAATTTTAAAAAGCTGTGATAATGCTGTCAAATTTGTGAGCAATTTTTGTAATTGAAGCACATAGAGCAGTTTTTGTATTTACAGTATGTACAGTATTTGTTGCACTTTTTTACACACTACCAACTGAGTGCACTTTCTTTGTTTTGTTTCGTTTTTACATTTTGCTCTTAAAGGACAGAAAACAGCATGTTGCTGGAACATCCTTTGTCAAACAGGATTTGTAGGCCAGAAATCAAAAATATTAAGAAGTCACTTCTACTAAAACATATCTGCTCTACCTTCATGAGGTAACCAAGGCCTTTCTCACTGAAGACGTCTCTGAGGAAGACCAAGTCCTCCTCCTGGTCGGCATCAGGGTGCAGCCGAGAGGTAAGAAGGGCCAGAGTCTCATGCAGCCCTGGGATATCATGTAAACACATTGAATAATCTCCCAGAAACGTTCTTTAAGCCAACTATATGTTTGGTGCATTAGCACACGCATTATATTTCATTAAATATAAAGCATGAGAATGAACAAGCAGCAACATATGTCAGGCTGTACCTGTGCTTGGAGACACAATGGGCATGGCTTCAATCATTCAGAGGAGGCACAAGGGTGCGGAGAGAGGAGGGGACAAGGAGGGAGGGAAAACAGAGCCGGTGAGTTGTCTCAAAGTCTCTCCTAGCTTTCCTTATGTTCCTGATGTATGCTGGGAAAAAAAATGACAGACACTGAACTGGAAGCCAAAAACAACTACATTTGACAACATGCATTAATATTAATACATAAATGTATTCATTAACGTTTCTTAGAATTGGTGATCACCTTTACAATTTAATCTTCATGATCCTTAATTTTTTGTTTCACTGGATTATATAATTAATGTAAAACTACAGGATTGAATTTGAGACATATTTTAACGGATATTTAAATCTTTTCCATGCTGGTAGGCACATTAAAAAGTTAGGAACTGTCACAAAAAATTAGAATCTGAGCTTGTGTGATGCCATCACTGACATGTAAATATATCAGCCAAGCAGCCATTCTTCGACAGTGATAGACTTTCAATATAATTAATAGCTGCTCTCATTACTGAAGGCACAAAGCATTCATTTCATTTCCAACTATGTGCCTGTCACACTAGAGGAACGTGAGGTCAGGTAATAGAATTCTAAGTAAAGCAGTGGAGTAGAAAACAACACGTGATGACAGAGCTTTTGTGCCTAAACTGTAAGCAAAATGTTCATTATCTCAAGGAGGAACCTGCTCGTTAGCTCAGAGGACAGAATTTGCTGTTAGCTCCAGTAATTTGGTCGCAGCTCTTGAGTTTATGATGGCTGCAGATGCTTTTAAATGGAAACTGCAGGAATAAAATGGCAGTATTTAGGTCAGACAGTTCACCGTTATAATGTTCAGTTAACATTATATAAGGTTTCGTGTTTCCAAGTGGTTAGAGTTTTAGTTATGCTTATAATTTTCTAGAGAACAGGACACCCATCTTGTTTGTCACCATGGCAACACTATATTACAGCGATTCCCTCTGTGTACAGAGATGCTTATCTCAGAGATAATTTAAACTATATTTGACTTGTCACGTCTTTCAAATTTTGTTCAGAGATTTTTTTTTTCTCCCAGCAGGATCTCAGAATCCAAAATCAATTATGTGGTTTGTCAGTCACAGCTCAGATTTCTTACTACCTAGTAAAGACATGGGGTTACTTACAAAGCTCTACTAAAAGCGTACACTTGCTGGGCACTCTAGGGACGCATCAGGATTAATAAGCCATCATTGTTGGTCACCACGGGCAACAGATGCAACGTGATTTTGTAATCATTGTAATAATTGTACATAAAATAGCTCATATTTAATTTGTATATATGTACATATTTAGAAATAAATGGTTGTTTGTCTTCCTGTTTCTTACTTGTTATTCAGTTTTTTTCTGTTTTATTTGGTGCACATCGGGGGCATTTGAGCTGGAGTCAAATTTCTTGTGTTTTAACATACTTCGCAGTGAAGTTTATGATTGATTGACTACGGCTAAGATTGGTCCAAATAATCAATGAACAGGAAACCTGGGCAAAAGGGTTGATCATTTATTAATAGCTTTTCTGATAATCAAAGTGGGCATGCTAAGTACAGCAATACATATTTATATATAAATTTGTATTTATAACATACATGTAGGTAGGTACACACAGACAATTTATCCAGCCAAAGTGATAAACTTTCTCCAGTTTCAGCTTCCAAACTTGAGGATTTATTGCTTTTCTTTTTTTTTAATTATTGAAAATTAAATATTGTTGGCTGGACAAAACAAGCCAGATGTGGTCTTAGGAGATTTTATAGGTTCATTGAAAAAGCTGATTAATAAATCAGAAATAGAGCCAAGCCTCAAGTTATTTCAAAGACATTAACAGAAAACATGTTACTGTCAGAGACAAATGAAAGAGGACAACGCTGCCCGTGGTTTAAACTGAGCATGAACAGTTTCTGGCATTACATCATTCGGTGTATCACTACAATTTAAAGCATAAGGGAACACTTCTTAAGACAGTATCAAGTCTCTGTGCACTGGTTAGATCATCATACAGATTCTAATGAACAGGCCCTGCAGCAGCACATCGGGTGTGTTCTGCCAGCCCACCTGCTCTACCCCCACCAACGCAGCGGGAGCCTGTGGTTATAAAATGCCAGTTGAACATACAGCAGTGTGTGTGCATGTATACTTATCCTACACACACGCCTTCTACTTGTGGCATTCATGAGAACAGTTACCCACCTCATTCATCTAATTTCCAAAGCAGGTCACTCAACCTGGCTCATTGTTCGTCACCTGATGGGGATGTTGGCAGCCCACCAAGTTACCAAGCCTTCATCAAAGGGATTTACTGTTAAGACTAATGAATGGAGACATCTAACAGACTCAAATTTTTCATGATTTGCCGATTTATATTTACAGAAATCAAATGCATGAACATTTTTAATGAATACAACACAGCAGAATTTCTACTTTCCACCAGCTTTTAAAGATATCGTATGTCATATATTATCAAAACAAGCCATTTAGAGCTGTCTTACCTTAATTATTCATCATGGTTGGTCACTTTATTGTCATATTCCCCCCACTGGCCTGGGGAAAACATACCAGCTTCCAAGAAAACTGCTAGTTTGAGAAAACGCTGACTGAAAACAGGATGGTGCCCAAGTGGCAATTAAAATGGACAGCACAGCACAAACAGGTCTTTGTTTAGCTGGCGACAAGTATTCATAAAGCTCGGAGCTAAAACGCTTACAGTGTAATGCATTTAATTGTGCCTCAGTCTGCATAATGGCAGTGGGAAAACAACCTGTTTAAGCTGCTCTGCAATGTGCTGTTACACATTATAACCGACTGCCTGTTCCATGTTGCTGTAGTCATGTCATTATTACAAACCTGTGAAAATGACTTTCCATACAATGTACCAGAGCAAAAGCAGATCCATAAATCATCTGCATCTCTTCTTTTTTAGTTAAAATATATATCATTTTAAAGGAGCAGTGAGACAATTTGGGAAATATGCTTATTAGAGTTAACAACAAATTCAACAAACGACTACACATCCATGGGGGATCATCGCTAGAGCGTGACATGACTCATCTCTCTCCATCAGTGATCATCAATAATAATAGTCGCTGATTGATTCCGTTTAATGCCACACCACCACCAGCTTGTCTGTCCTTTCACTCAGCAGCATATTGACAAGTAGCACTTTAAAAAAAAATCCATTATACACATTATCAGGGAGAAACACATTTTGCTAAGCCAAATGATTCATACAGCTTCAGCTAACCACATGCTCGTTTGTCTGTTCCTCTATCAGCAGGATATCTAGCAAAACAATTCGCAGCAAAGAAATAAACGCTCATATGTTTGTGACCAGATGTGGGGCTGAGCCTATCTCTCAAATGCATTCATTTTCACAAGAGACATAGCTTTTATTACATCCAAATGTAGTTGAATTATCATTCAACATTCAATTTAAAAACATGTTAAAATTAACTGTGTTGCCGCCTGCTGTCCATCACACAACCCCACTCCACCGAGAACCTTTAACTCAAAACAACAAAGTGAACAGTTCTGGGCTACAACATCCTTTCGCCTCCTCCCTGAACACATGGCCCACACTGACCTGCTTCGTTCTCTTCCTCTCCCCAGCTAACTCCCATCCTCTAATTACAAGAGGCTGTGAGGAGCTTAGAACCAACATCTTAGTTTTTTCTCTTGCTCACTCACTGGGTCCATTGCCTAAACACTTCAGGTTCCCACTGGCCATACGGTGGCATTATCTAACCTTGTTAATTTAAGCCAACGGCGCTCACAGCTGTGTGCATCACTGAGGATTTCACTGAACACAATAAAGCAGATTAGAAAAGACTGGTAGATTAGAAGAGAAACTGAACAGCAGCATGGAGGAGGCACTAAATGCTTTTCACTACAGCTTTTATAATGAAGCAATTAACTGGTATGTCCTGGACTTATTAGACTGGCAAAGAAAGAAGACTCGAGGAAGTTACCAACAAGTCTTCAAAAAAGTGAGTTGTTGGTTTTAGAAAGTTTAAACAAACTAAATATTAAACATGTGTTGGTGAGCTTGGAGCTTTAGAGGTGTTGGCAAGCTGAATTTATTAACACTGAATGGAGCCAGGCTAGCTGCTGCTGTTTCCAACTAACCACAGACAGCGTAGTCTGCTAACTTTTACCTGGGTGACCTTAAGTCAGGTCAACTAATTATTTTTTTACAGCCTGTTCTTTCACAACCTCTTCATGCAAAGTTCATTTAAAAATGAATAATTCATAATTTGTTGACACAAAGTTCTTTTTAATCACCATGCTTCAACTCAAGGACACTTAAACTCGCCTGGTGTCTCCTTAAACTAGTACAATACTATATTAAAAACTATTTTTTCTTCAGAGTTTTGACCTTGTGGTAATCACTTGATCTTGTTTACTACTGGCTCACTCGTATTGTCATTTACTGCATCTCATGTCAATGCAGGGCCTCTGAGGCAGCTGTGCTTTATTGTTTCGTTATTGGCTTTTAATATTATTTTTCCATGTTTCTCTTCATAGTTTTCCCTGGGCCGCTGGCGCTCACATGACTGCGCTGGCTCAAGGCAACATTTCATATTCACATAGCTCTTCTTTACACCTCAGATACTGTGCATCATGGAGCAGTGAGGTTTATGGCTGACAGTAAAATCCTCAGTAACTGCTCCTTTTTATGTGTTGACAGATTGAGTTTTCCACTGGTTAACCCCGTCCCTGGCGTCTCTCCGCCTCTGTCATTTATCGTCACAAAATTTGCAGATTGAGACAAACTTATTCATCCTACTACTAGACTGGGGACCGGCACAATCTACATTGTGCACGGCTTAGCTTTATGTCACTATCCTCTCTCCTCACATACACAAACATGCATGCATGCATGCCACCTGTTTGCCTGACTTCTTTGCTGTTGGATGAGTCCTGGGGGGTTGACAGAGATCACCAGAGGTCACCAACAACATGCTGCTGATGCCATCTGTCCACTACTCTGTGTCTCTGTGTGTGTGTGTGTGTGTGTGTGTGTGTGTGGTCCACTCATGACCTGTGATGCCACACACATGGCTAATCTTGCATGTTTGGATATGACAGATTTCGTTCCAATATCGTTCGTTGCAAAAAAAAGTTGCCTGCTGTACATTTTTTAAAAGGACTATGATAATCTGCACTGTAGTATTACCTTGAAACATTGCTTCTCATTTCAAAAATGAAAAACGTTGTTCTCTTTACAAAATGGAAAACAAAAGAAGGCTCATGTAATCTATCAAATGCCAAAAAAATGTTCAGTACTCATCAGAGCCTTTCTTTATACGTTGGTTTGCTCAACCAAGTCCAAAACCCAAAGATAGCCCTACAAAACTGCTTAGGTCTTACTTGCGCTTGGATAAAAATGTTAGAAAATAAAATGTAGTACAGACGAGCTCAGAGACCAGACGGCTCGTATGAAGAACATTTCAAAACACCCAGATACAGCAGGACTCACCATTAGTGTTGGGAGATAGATTTGTCTGTCTCTGAGGAGAGGGATCCCACATTTGTGTGCAAACAGGGCAGCGTCACTTTCACTGTGCAGTTGGAGAATTACAACAGCCAAATAGGTATTAGGGGCAGAGGAGGACTTTGGCATGACAGCTGATAAAGTGCCAGTCTGGCTGTTAGGGAGCCAGACGTTAGAGGCTTTTGACTGGTGAGTGATGTTAAACTCCCGGTGAGCTGGCAATGATGTGTGCAAATGCTTAGGAAAAACAGTGAAAAAGACACACAGTAGCTATGATTGCTGTCATTTTGCATCTCTTCTGGTTGTTTTGTATCTTTTTGCAACTCTCTGTGGTCCTTTTGTGTATTGAGGTCTTTTTTTTGCCCCATGCTTTGTGGTCATTCTGTGTCCTGTGAGGCTGTTTGTCTCTCTGACCTTTGACTTTATATCCAGGAATCTTAACTGTTGCTTCAAAGAGAAGCTCAGCAGCAAGGACAGCTACTAAATGCTCATCTAGAAACTTTGTCCTCTCACCAAACAATTCACATAACATTAAGAACAACTTCATTTCCCCCTAAATCAGAACGAGTAAAAATGAGCTTCGTCCACTAAAACCTCAGTGTCTGACCCTGACAGTCACTGAATTTCTTTGCATCTCCTGAAAGTAAATAAAGCCATTAACCAGAGCCTCTCAGCCCTGCAGCAAAGCATGACCAGGTCCTTACTAAACGCCTGTCCTGTCAGCCTCCACTCACTGGGGTCACTAATAACTGTGCTGTTAGTATTGATCACTTTTCCACTGTTATTAAACAGAAGATGAATGATAATGTTTGGTCCTTTATGAACATATAGTGTTGTCGTCCAGCCCAGAGGAGGTCGCAATCAATTACTATTGATACCCACTCCTAATTAAAATGTGAAGACATGATTTCCTCTGGAATGTGCTTATAAAAAGCCTCCCATCCAAATATGATTTTCATAAAGCTTTTGCGCAAAGTGAGAACGAGGCTGAGTCTAAATTTGTGTCAATTCAAATTAAACGAGGGCAGCTGGAGTTTCATTTTTCTGTCGCTCTCGCTCTAAACACACTGAAAAATGCACAGTGAAGAAAGGAGCGTCCTTACCTTGCTCAGGGTCCCCTCAGCCCCTGCGTGCGCGCTCCTTACTGTCTTCCGTCTCTAAGCCCGACACCGCTTCTGTTACATCAGCTGTGCCTCTGTTTGTGTTTTCACTTTCCTTCCTCTTGGCGTGTTCGTCGTCGCTCGCTCTCCATGCTGCCTTCAGGTGCTCTTCGTAAAACTCTAAATCCAAGATTCACACGCTGTGATGCTGCTGTTTGAGAGAGATTAGTTGGGCGGAATTAAGGAAGGGAAATGTACAGAAGATAAAGAATGGACGGCCAGAGAAGTTAAACGATCTACAGAGAAAATATTTACAGTAGAAAATGTTTGATCTGGGACCTACTGACAGGTTGATCCAGCCACAGCACTATTAGGCACTGATTCAATGCACTTGTGGTTGGCAGGTCTTTTTTCACAGATGAAAATTTGACTTGTCATAACAGGAAAAGCACAAGTATAAATAATGAAATTAATCTTCTTTTCTTTCCAGGTGCATGCTGGATCACTGTCACACTTAAATACAACAGAGCCACCATTAAAGTTAAAGGTGAAATCAGTGCTTTTCTTAATATGTTATATGAATTTCTGACGTCCCATGAAAGCAGCACCAGTCCACACATGCTGGAGGGTGTATGTTTCTCAGGTCCACCCCTCTAAAAGCCATCTTTTGCTGTTCATCTCTCCCTCCATGTCTGTGCCCCTCAGTGAGTGGTACAGTACATGTTTTGGCTGCTGGTCAGAGATGCCTTGCTTATCCATCACTGTCTGGTTTGGGTCGGCAACTAAACAGGACAGGAAAAGACTCCAGCAGACAGTCAGGACTGCAGAAAGACTCACTGGTGCAAGCCTGGCCTCCATGGAGGACCTGTACATCTCATGGGTCAAAAGGAGGGCAGAGATCTTTGCAGACCTCTCACACCTTGGACATGAACTGTTTGAACTCCTCCCCTCTGTACGGCGCTACAGGTCACTTTACACCAAGACAACCAGACACAAGGGCTGTTTCTTCCCCCCAGACCATCACTTCTATTTACTCGCTCCCTCTTTCTGCTTTATACCACTTTTCTTTTTTCCTTTGCTGGTTGGCCTAGCTGTTACAAGCTCTAAGAGACTATAATGTGCTCAGACAGTGTGTGAAGGAGAAGAGAGAAGCAGAATCATTGTTGTTACCCTGTGATCACAGTCTCAAATTGGGTCTCTCTGTGTGATTAAATGGATGTCAGAGCATTTCATCTTAGTTCAGTGGGCCAAACACAGTAGCTGGGGATCAGAGTCCTATCTGTGATGAGTGGATTACACCAGACACCACCTCAGTCTTTTAGTAAGGACAGCTTCTCCTGTGACATCACACAAAGCAAGGTAAAAGTGGGTTTAGGTGCCAGAAAAACAGTAAGAACATTTTTGCAAACTAATCCTAAACATAGTGTTAATCAGTTATTTGAGTATCATATTCGTTACAGTAAAATCATGTCTGTACGATTATTTTTGTACAAACAGCTACATTAAAATGAAAACTCAGTATGTAGGTGACAAAAATATAGATTTTTCTACACATTGTCTTGATTGTCCTAGGTGTATTCGTGTCTGAAATGCTGTGTTTGTTGGTATTTCAACATCCTGAATGAGGTTTCAGCCTTCAAATGTAGTCTGAGGTCACATCTAATGTCAGGCCCAGGAGAAGGCACATGTGTGTGTCCCTGTTAGAAAACACAATGATTAACAAAAATGGCAGCAGTGAGCAAATGCTGGTTTGTGTCATATGTCAAAATGTCATATATTTAAACTCCATCTTGCATTTTCAGCCATTTTGTAAATGAAAAATGTACATCTGACCCTGACCAATGTCATATTACATCATTTACATAAAGATGTGAATTGCTACTAATAGTGTAGCTAGACAAAGCTTTCAAAGAGACACTATAGTAAAATTAGAAACCATGGCTCACAATAAAATCCATCCAGTTACAATAAATCAAGAATGATGGATTGTTTTTTTAGACATTTAACATGTCCTTTCTTTCTCCCTCGGACATTCAATCTGACCTCTCTATCTTATCATTCTCACCATGTATGTGGACTTTGTGAAAGATGCCAAACTGTCAACACCAGTGGGTTCTAACGGCTGTGAAAAAGAAGAAATAAAATGCTTCAGAAACCTCATGCACTCAAAGCTTCCACTGCCTTGACATCTACTTGATCAAACAGCCCTCTCCTGACATTGTTAGATGTTTCATTTCAAAGCTTTTCTTGCACACATCCAACAGTGAGAGCATGTAATTATGAATGTTTTCAGATATTGAGCAGTAAACATTGTGAAAAATGTGACACGTGTTTCCATGGCTACCTGTGCGCTCCAAGCAGCTGGTTGTGCAGAAGTGATGGCAGCATCTTTTATCTCTGAGCTGTAAGCTGGGTTCTCCAAAGCCCCCCACAATGGCCAAAAGGTGGAAAAATTCAACTGGAATCAAATTCCAGTCCTGATGTTCAGTCACTAATAACTGGACAGCTGCATATGGGAAATGAGGTGTACTCTTAAATGATTAGTGACATAGACAATAAGACTTATTATTTGACAGGTCTGGACATGCAAAGCCCAGAGCTATAGAGAGCACAATACAGGGTGCAAAGCTGCAGACAAATCTGTATCTATGTTCATCTTCAATAAACCAATTAAGGATTTTGAATGACATATGTGCACTTTTTTTCTTTGCATCATTTGGTTCTAAACTCTACAAGTGCAGTATTTGTTACAGCTCAGCCTTCACATGACAACACATCTGCCCACACACAAGCACTGGCTCCAGTCTTGCTCGTCACTTTGGTCGATGCAGTCGTTGGTGAAATCACAACGGGCCCACTGGGGAATACAGCAGTAGTTTGTCCTGCAGGAGAACTCAGTTTCCTCATCACACTTGTAGTCCAGACCCACCAAACTGAGAAACAAAGACTGACATGACACATGAGGAAAGAAGTGAGAATGATGACTGAGAGTAAGGCAAGGAAAATAACAAAGAAAAAGCCACAAGGTGACAAGAGAATAAAATATGAGAAATGATGAGGAACAAGTAAGACAGAGCAAGACAGATGGTGAGTAAGAGTAGAAGGAAGATAATGAGAGGAGAGAACATAGTTTGTGCCACTTAAAAACAACATTATGTTCAACATGACATCATTAAGTCACTCAGCTTCCTTTAAGGACACGGCTGGGTCCACACTGATTATATATAATTGAAAAACAAATCTATGCTTGATTAAACTGTCAGCTCTGCTCCGCCACAATGCACTACAATCATCTGCTACAGTAGTAGCTTTCTTTTTGTGCTCATAGACACAAGTAGCAGGAAAATCAAACCGTTTGACCTGTAATTAAGGATGTCACAGATTCAATTCCTGTCACAGCCACTGAAAAAGACATGATACATCTCTTCTAGCTCACATAATGTGGATAAGATCAGCGATTTAAGTCACTTACTGCAACATTTTATTGTTTGTGTCTGAATTTAATTTAGTATTGCCCTCCTTACTGCTGGAAAACACATTATATGTTTAAGCCTTTAAAGCATTTCCCTCTGTTTTCGATAACATGTCATCAAATTGTAGTAAACGTCATCTTAACCCTGTAGACTGTTAGTTTAACGTGGGCGCCCTCCAGTGGTAAAACAAAAAAACCTTTGGGTTTAAAGCAGCACCAATTACTGTATTTTGTAAGTGAAAATCCACTATATAAAAAGATATCAGGATTAAAATGTCCTAATTGCTACTGTAACACAACATTTATAAAATTCTGACCTTTCTTCTTAGTTATCCTCCTCTTTATTAAAAAAATCCAAGACAAATCATAAGTGATGGAAAGTGCTTTATTTTAAAAGAGTGTTCAATATGTTTAAATATTTATAGTTCCAAGAAATTAAATATTACATGATAATATGAGTGATCCATAAAAACCAACCAATATGGTAAAATATTTCAGTATAAATCAGTCATGGAAGAGGTTAAACATTAATAAAATAGATACTCAGTTATATAAATAGATATTGAAAAGGTTCTGTCTAGTAAACATTTTACACATAATTATATTAAAATATGTCTTGATTTGGAGGAAGAAGTCATTAAATCTTATCATATTAAAGAAAATCACCTCATTTACACAAACTGAGTTCAATAAAAATGGACTCATCACAAACTTAAAACATTTTGCCTACAAAACGACCACCTGTAAACTCATAACTGATCCACGTTGCAGAGTATCAGTCTCTTGTTCAACACAATTAAATAATTAAACATTCCTCAGTAATATTTCAACTGACCGACAATATTGACAAACCTCTGAAAGGTGCATCTCATATCCAAAACTCTGACAAAGATTAGAATTGTCCAGAATAGACTTCATATTATGTGGGCCAATGTGGAAGAAAAACATATAGAATATTCATTACTCCACATTTCTTCAGCCACTGGACTTCTGTTCATACAACTCTTACATTACTGGGACATTAATGGGAAAAAGAAAACTATTTCTGTGATTTCCAACAGAACTGCAGCATGTTCTTGATCTGAGCAAATAGACCTTTTCTCATAAGTCAAACCTTCTTCCATTGGTCTGAGCATACGGGTTGGACTGAAGTCCATTCTGGGCATAGGGGTTGTTCTGGGGTCGTCCATTTGCATAGGGGTTGTTCTGGGCTCGTCCACTAGCATACAGGCTGGTCTGGGCTCGAGACTTAGGATATGGGTTCATGTCATCTTGGATATTGTTAGTCCACTACAATGAAAAGAAAAGGTCTCCATGAATAAACTGTTAAAATTAAGTATAAATTGTATATTCCCAGTTTTCTCATCTTTAATTCTGTTCCATGAACAGGAAATTGCTTTTATATGTTATATTTCTTTAATTTATCTTTACTACTTCTCAATGTGGCTCCTCTGTCAAACACACACTGAGGCATGCTTACCGAGTTCCTGTCTGCAGAGATCAGGTTTTGTCGGCTGTTGCTTGGAGTCATCTCCAGCGTGGTTCTGCTATTCCAGCTACTGTTGGTTGTAGCCCGTGGGATTCTAGGCATCCCAGTGTTGGCAAAGGCTGCCAGGCCATTGGCTAACCCATTAACTGGGGTGGCCTTGTGACTGGCAAAGTTCCCGTTAACCACTGGTATCTTGGCAGTAGACTTGCTGACATAAGATTGTCCAGAATCTGCATTTTTTGTTTTCTTGCATCTAACAGGATATAACAAAAGATATCAATTTCTGTCTTCCCTTACTGTATTACCGCACCATGGCCTAGTTTGACATTCATAAATGGGTTTTTCATCACTCAAAGCAAAAGCTAAATATATTTTTGTCTAAAACAAAACAGCAGAATAAACAATAAAATGAAAGGTTCATAATTAATGTGCCTGGTTAAATTAAAGTTAATTTAATGAGTGAGAGAGACACATGCACAAGACATAGCAGAGGCAATAATGAATAACTGGAAGTGAGTGAATGAATAGATGAGAAACTCACGTGAGAGCTATTACAGGCAGAAGGATGACCATGATGAGCAGCAGCCCTCCGAGCACAGAGCCAACGATTACCAGCACCAGCTGCCATGCTAACAAAACACAACAACGAGAACATCAATAACAAGGCTGCGCTTATCTTATGAAACTTCCTCTAAAGCAGAACTAATAAACTGGTTCACAACAAAAGCAAACCTACTGTAAGTCATGCCAACACGGAACACCACCACTTTCACAAATCAAAGTGTTTTGCAAATTTTCAGGTGTTGTGGAAAAGGTTGTGGGTCCAGAGGGATATATTGTACAGAAAGTAGACCGTGATTTCATGGGGGGCCAGAGGGATAAATTGTACAGAAAGTAGACCGTGATTTCAAATGCAGCTGAGAAAAAAGGTTCAGCTGCATCAGGAGCACGATGCTAAATCAGTGGAGCATTCAACTGCATTCAGACAAATCTTTGCCCTCTATTCAGGTATGTTAGAGTGGAAATCATGTAACCTATTTCCAAAATATGCTCACAAATATACAGTTTATAAGTATATACACATACACAGATGGACATGCTCTAGTAAAGCAATTGCAACCGAGGAGCTTCTACTTCATTGAACTGACAAGCCCAAAATGGCACTTGAAGTACACACAATATTACTCAGTATACTCAAGCCACAATTTAATTGCCATGCACTAATATTAAAGGGACATAATGTTTTTTGTCTTGACAAATGTGATTTTAGCAGCACTATTTTCTGCCCAGAACAACATTGCATTTGCCACGATTTGGGGAGATAATGTTACTCCAATAGGTGCAACGGTTACATTTGTATTGGCCAAAGTAGCACAACAGATTTGTTCTGAGTGTTGTCAACAATTTTGTGTTGCTAATTTGAAATGGTGAATTCTTATGTTTATTTTTCAAAAGGAGATTGTTTATCAAGTGCTAATTATTGCCATGTTGCTTTTGCTTTCACACTCAGACACATACTGTATACTTACAATCACTACAGTTTAAACCAGATCTGCCAAATGAACACCTGAAAGGCAAGAAGGATGGTTCATTTTACAGTTCAGCTCTTTACAATCACATGTCATGGGGGGGTTGAAGGAGACATGGACAGAGAGGGGTGGGTAGAAACTGTTACATTTTCAGAACATAATATGACATTTAAGCACTTACTCTTTACATCCGGAACTGGTTTTATTGGTTTTAAATTGCCCACTGGGACAAGCTGCAAAAGTAAAGAAAGTTAAAGTAGTTTGTAGTTTAGTTAAGATTGTTATGAAACACACAGGCACACATGTTCTCTCTCTGTCTCACTCATTAAATGCCCTTACCAACGCACAATCTGATACTCAAGTCCGTCTCAATGAAGTCATCCAAACAGTCACACTTAAAAGATCCCTCTATGTCCATACATTTTGTAGTTTTTGCATCACAGGTTTTTGTGTTCAGGCTGCACAGGGATGTATCTGTAAATAAAAGAACCAAAAGAGGACAGCGTCAGTACATCTAACTCAAATAAGTCCATCTCAATGAAGTCATCCAAACAGTCACACCTGAAAGATCCCTCTATGTCCTCACATTTTGAAGTTTTTGCATCACAGGTAGTCAGTCTGCACAGGGATGCGTCTATAAATAAAAGAACCAAAAGAGGACAGCATCAGTACATCTAACTCAAATAAGTCCATCAGTACAAAAAGAGCACAAAAATCAATAGCAGGATGTGAACTAAGGACTGAAAAGTACAGCAGGCTGATAGCAAAGGAGAAATGCAATTACATCTAAGATATTATTGCTCAATGGCTGACTGATACTCTGCACACTGTACAAAGATCACGAGATAAAATATATGTGTAATGAGATTTCAACATCACATCTTTGGCAGTGTTTCAAAATGCCACACCAACCTTGGTCCCCTCATCCAACTGCTTATGAGAGGGTTGGCTGTAAAACAAGCAGCTAAAGTGTGCGTGATAACGATGTTGCAGGGTGTTAACAGCATGACCACTCATATACTCTGTATTATCCTGATACCAGGCAAAAATGCAAGATTAAATATTATAGCTGAAGAACATGAAAGTTATAAATTATTTACATTTACACCCCAAATTCCACAGAAAGACAGATCAGTTCAATATTCCCTAAACAGGCTTTACTCTGTGAAAATGCTAATGTATTGTAATGTAGTTTAGAGAAGTGCAGAATAATGGCAGAACATAAAAATAAGAAGTAAATATACTGCTTATTTTTATGTTCTGCAGTAATAACTGCTGGTTAATGCAGCAGCAACACTGTACACAGAAATACTGGCAATAATTTATGGTAGACCCTTATATCATATATTACAATAAAACTTTTGTTTTACTATACTATAGTTGGTTTTGTATTACACAGCCTTAAGTGTGACATCTATGAATAACACAATAAAACAAAACATTTTTAATTAAACACAGCAGATACCATTTTGAAACACAGCCCTCCAATTTTGCCTTTCCTGAAAACAAAATTTGTTTTATTTGAATATTATTAGGTCAGACATATTATTACTGGGTTATACATATACACTAGAAACATATAATACACTTACTCTTGAAAGATCCACCCTTCAGTAGACAGTTCTCACAGTTAGTGGCTTTTTTAACTATTTCTTCAACATTTGCTGTTTTGATGTCAGAATTTGCATTGAACTTCATCTCTACAGATGCGTTGACTCCAGTCTGTGTTGATCTTGACCCAGCTTTGCTGATTTTAACTGGCCTATTTGAAGAAAATAATATTCTGCAGTTAATAAGTGAAATATAATCTAAATGTACTGTAAAAGGTATGGTTCTAGATACACAAACACATGGCAAACAGCAGTGTCACACTGGGACTTACTCGAGTTTCAGCACTGTAGATCCAGTGTAATCCTCAGAAGACCTCTTAAAAGCAGCGTTCAGCTGTGTTTTGAAAAGAAAATACAACTTCGATAAGCTCATCATCTGACTGAGAAAGCAGAGATTCTTTTACTTGATAGATTCATAATTTATCAGGTTTAATACTTAAACACAAGTGAATTAAATGAACTTTCACTGTTGTCAACAAACAGTTCTTCAGGGTATTTTCCATCAAAATATCAAATGTCTTACATAAGCAAAATAGGGCAAACTTATTTATCATTTGTAGCAAGCAGGCTGAGCTGTTGACCAAGATATTCTGCAACAGTGATAGTCAGGTGTTGGATTAAACACTGACCTGAAAATTTTGTGTTCAAATCAAGGTAGCCATTACAGTATGTATCACGTCTACCCACATAGATAAGGCATATAAAACATTTATGAAATGCATGCATTTTATTCCAAGCTCAGCATTTACAAAAACTAAGTTACATAAACAGAGGAGATAACTGATCACTTACCTCAGCAATAATTTGATCCGAGGCATTTTTAAATTCTGGTGATTTGTTGTTTTCCATTTGAGCCTTATATTCTATCTCTGGCACACTGAGTTGTCCAGGGAAAACTTTGGCTAAAATAAGAAAATTTGATCTTGAGAAAGTTGTACCCTCCTCCCCCACCAGAATTCAATTAAGCTGAACTGATTACAAATAATCGCCTACAGAGTCTCTAGGCAATACTCTATGGTGCTGTGTAACTATGCTTTCTTACATCCTACATAAGACAAAAGATTAGAATCAGGCAGGATCATTTTCAGGTTTCTCCAGTAACAACCTCATGGTGGTGGTGTGCAAGCTATTTCTTACCATTCTCACAACTTTTGCTGGCATTATTGTAGTTTTCACCAGGCAAACAAAGGCATACAAATGTCTGATCAGCACGACCATCACATGTGCTCCCTTGGCCACATGGGTTTGAATCACATGGATCTTTAAAGTTAAAACACACACACATACACAGCAATATAAGCATTTACAGCATTAGAAAATATGAGCACCTCAAACCCGTAAACTCTTGGATACAGCAGAAATGATATGTTTTGGATACTGGTGAAATTACTTGGAAGCGGTGTAGTTGTAGGAACTGGTGTTGTTATTGTAACAGAAGGTTTGGTGGTGGGGGTTGTGCCCGCCCCTGGCTGGGTCGTGTTGGCGGGGGGGGGTGGGCCCCCCCCG